CCGGAAATTTTGAAGCTCAGAAAAAAACCCAGTTTTTTCCCGTTTTTTTTTTTCCTGGGAAAAAAATGGAAATTTTCGGGAAAATTGAAAAAAATTCTACATTAGCACTTCTACATTAGCACTTCCAGATTGAAAGTCATTCTGTTACTTTAGGAACATAAAATATGACAATGGACCATTTTACTTGGCATGAAATTATCGCAACTAGCATATTAAAAATATAGTGTATCCAAACAGTTATTACAAACAGAATTTACTTTTAAAATAATATTTATTTGTAATTGTAACAAATGGAGCAACAATCTCCTGAACTGTTTACTAGTTTATGTGGAACAGACAAAAAAACCTCCACAAAACAATTTTTAAAAAATCCAGAAGTAACAATTAGTCATATTTCCTCTCCACAGTATTAAATAATTTTAAAAATTCTCATAAACAGAATTGAAGAGGGGGGAAGTGTATAGAAGGGAGTGTGGAACTAAGTTTCAATGAATGGGCATGAAATTTAATCAGAATCATTTTCTGAGCTGTAATTATCAGTATCAGTTTCAGTCTCTGCTTCTGCAGCTACTCTTTTGTGTCCGTCATTATCCATTGGAGAGTTCAGTTTGTAACCCAGGACTTGCTTGTCCTCAGTGCACAGAAATTAGATAAATCTGATACCATACATATTTTTTAGAAATGATTTGGAAAATATTTGAACACCTTGTCTTAAAATATTTTATTCATCATGTTAAAATAAAACATTCCATAATCAATTTCTTTTCTTTTTTAGATTTTTCCAATTTTTCAGAAAAAAACAAAAAAGGCTTCAGGAAAAAAATGGTTTTTTTCCAGGCCTTCACACCTCTAGCTGACTGTGGTGTCTTTCACGCAGGGACCAGATTTTGTGGTTTCCCCATGGATGGCATGGCTGCAGATAAAGCGTAACAGCAACGGGGCTTCCACATGGCAGGTTTCCCTGTCGTCTCCCTGCCCCAATCCCCAGGAAACAGCCACCACACGCCCCTTTCCTGGGTTTAAAAGAAATCAGCACTAGAATATTGTTACATCAATATACCATTGGAACGAGAGGTGCAGCAGCTTCTCTGAATTCCCACCTTTCATTTTTTAAAATGTAAGTCTCTGGTTCCTTCCCTTGCAAAGATATGCCTATGGTAAGATGCACCTAGGGTTGCCACCCCCCCATGGGGGCGGAGATTCCCCTAATTTGGGGAGACGCAATTCACCATTGGCCAGCAGGCCAGCGGGGGGAGCTTAACCCCGAAGAGCCCCATCCCGCCCAATGTGCCCGGCTTGATGACATCACCTCTAGATGATGAGGTCATTACACTAGGCACATTGTGCAGGGGGCACTCTAGCATTTGGGCAACAACTCTATGGCAAAGAAGACTCCTGGAGGAAGACTGGACACACACACCCCCAGCGCCGCCAGCAACCAAGTAAGACCTGGCAACTCTAGACGTACCAAAATAACGAAGAGTCAATAAAGATAAGTTGCAAAAACATTTACTGTAGTAATTATGTAGTAAACGTTTTTGCAACTTATCTTTATTGACTCTTCATTATTTTTGTCGCGGATGTTGTTTTTGGTATTCCACTTCCTCCCAGTAGAGGAGTTAAGGGTTGAACGGACCCCACCCACCCGAGCTCTTCTTTCCTTGCCTTAAGTAGCCATGGGGGACTGTTCACTTTTTTTTTTAACTGGGAAATCCTGACCATGGGGCCCTCCGCATGCAGTCAAAACCTGAGCCTAGCTCACCAGCAAACACATTTTCAAAGCCCACAGTTATAAACTGTCGTGTCTTTTTGATGAAGTGATACTTTAAAGGGCTTGTAATGGCACAGCTGTTGCAATGAAACGTGGTCATTCATAACTGTGTCCCCCTGAAATGTCCCCCTGAAATGAAGGTTGCAAAGCTGCAGCAGACTGTAGAGCAGCAAGCGAGCCGTTTCCAAGAAGCCCTCGGCGAACAGAACCGACAGTCTGGTAAAGAGAAAGAAAAGCTCTTGCAGAAACTTCAGGACACAGTTCAGCAAAGCCAAGATATTAAAGCACAGCTGGAAGCATCTCACCAGATGGCCATAAATCTCCTGGAGAAAAGCAAGAATCAGGAGCTCAAGGTTAGATTTGTGTAACAGTGCTGGTTTTATTTTTAATCAGGGCTTAATGATTCGAGTGGCAGAGCTACCATAAATTCTGTGCCGAGTGGCTGGGAGAACATGTGACATTTGTCTACGACCAAACACCTGCGATCTGGGGTTGAGAAATATTTAAAGCACATAATCTAAGTAAAAGAATTCCAGTATGATCGATTTCCATTAACTGAAGTCGTACTATGTTTTCTGTGTCCTTTGCAACCCATTCCTTCTCTCCAACCATTGCAGAGAAGACCAGTGCAGGCGGAATGGAAAGGGGGCTACAGGGTAATATTTTCCTTCCCTGAACACATTTCCTGTTCAGCAATTTGGTGGGTTCAATCGGTGATGCCAGGCTAAATCAGCCACTAGGGCTCAGGTAGGCCAGGTGAAGATCAAGCATCTTGGTCCATCCATAAAAAGCCAATTGCAAAGCTGGGCAACTGGTTTCAAATAGCAAAACCAAGTGACAGTGGAAGGGTTAAACCCTCTCTCTGTTCCCAATGTGGCTCTGAGGCAAACCAGCCCTGCAAGTCTGCAGTTTGTATTTGGGGAACGGAAGGAGACAAATGATATGCACCTTGTCTGTTTCAGCCTTCATACTGAATCAAGGACCGCAGTGCCACTCAGTGGGGGTTGGTGAGAGAAACTAGGAATACACACAAGGGGCACCCTGCCAGCATTTCAACAACTAATTGTATTCGCCTGGGTAAAGTTGAGGATCAAAAGTGTTCAAGCAACAAGGTTCCAGTTGCTAAAAAGAAAATTCCCATTGCTAAATACCCGCATTCAGTCAAGATTTCTACAGACGACAAGGGATTAGACAAAAGTACAGAAAAGGGAACACTGCCAAGTATGGTCTAAACATTGAACAATGATAGAATGCATGCTATAGAGAAATCTGTGCCCTTATTGCCAGTCAAAAATAATATCAACAACACAACTGTGTTCTTAGGTTCAGGTGGGTAGCCGTGTTGGTCTGAAGCAATAGAACTAAGTTTGACTCCAGTGGCACCTTTAAGACCAACAAAGTTTAATTCTTGGGATAAACTTTTTTGTAAAGTGGGAAATCCTGACCATGGGGCCTACCGCATGCAGTCAAAACCTGATCTTAAAGGTGCTCCTGGACTAGACTTCGTTCTCACATCTGTTTGTTAACTCTTTTATTTGCATGCTAATTTGCTGCTATTCACAGGTCTTACCAACTGCTTTAATCCAATCTTAGCTATAATTATTGCTCTTGACTCTAACTAGTCCTTCCTGGCAACTAACCCCCCACCCACCCTCTCTCTACTATATGTCAGGCTTGAGGAAGTCTGTTTCAGTGTATCTGAAGAAGTGTGCATGCACACAAAAGCTTATACCTAGAATTCAACTTTGTTGGTCTCAAAGGTGCCACTGGACTCAAAATTTGTTCTACAACTGTGTTAGGAACATAAGAGAACATAAGGGAAGCCAATGTTGGATCAGGCCAATGGCCCATCTATTCGAACACTCTGTCACACAGGGGCCAAAAACACCAGGTGCCATTAGGAGATCCAGCAGTGGGGCCAGGATACCAGACGTCCTCCCACTGTTGCCCCCCCCCCCTCCAGGCACCAAGGATACAGAGCATCCCTTGCCCCAGCCTGAGAGTTCCTATAAAAGTTTTTTCCTTGTTTTTTTTACAGAGAGCCAAATTACCTCGTAAACAAGTTCAGGAAACATTTTCTCTATTACTGTTTAGACTTCTGTTTCTGACACTTCATTTTGTTGCCTTTCCTTGTAAATCTACTATTTCATTTATCATCTGCACTGTAATGTGCCAAGTTATTTTCTGTGGGCCAGTATTGAACCCTATGACAGCCCCTGGCACAGGCAGTGCGATGTCCCAGAGGGGGCGAGGCGGGCAGGCGGGTCTGTGGCCGCCACTGATTCAGCCGCTTGGATCTTAGAGAAGGGCAGGAAGCAGAAGGCCCTCAGAGAACAGGGGCAGAAAAAGCAAAGACCTCAAAAGTGAGGAGCCTGCTGGGGGCGGGGGAGCTAAGAAAATATTGAAGTGTATTGGAAGAGGGAGCAGGCCAGAGGGAGGACTTCAACCGGGAATGGGAAAAGGGGCAGACAAAGGTTAGGAACAGTGTTCCCTCTAAGCTGAGTTACTGTGAGCTAGCTGACAGTTTTTTAGCCTCCAGCTCGCACATTTTTGTCTCAGCTCAGGAAGGAGGGCTCCGGAGCAAACTAATTCATGCAGCAGCCAAAGCTCCTGCTCACAACTTTAATGCCAGTGGCTCGCAAGGTAGAATTTTTGCTCACAGGGCTCCACAGCTTAGAGGGAACATTGGAGACAAGCCGAGGCCCCTTCCCCACACGCCTCCACACCCAGGTTCGCGACTCTCCCGGAGCTGCCGTCCATCCTCCACCTGCCTGTCTCCCCCCTGTAGCTGACAATGGGGACCCGTGTTCCCTCTAAGCTGAGTTGGTGTGAGCTAGCTCACAGTTTTTTAGCCTCCGGCTCACCCATTTTTGTCTTCGCTCAGGAAGGAGGGCTCCAGAGCAAATTAATTTTTGCAGCAGCCAAATCGCTCACTCACAACTTTAATGCTGGTAGCTCACAGAGTAGAACCTTTGTACCCAAGTCTCCACAGCTGAGAGGGAGCATCGGTTAGGAAGTCTACATATTTATTTGAAATGATTAGTTACATCTTCCGCTACAGGCATATTGTCGTTTAGGAGTAGTATTGGAAGTCTTACATCAACTTCGGTAGCTGTGTTGGTCTGAAGCGACGGAACAAAGTTTGAGTCCAGCGGGGGCACCTTTAAGACCAACCAAGTTGAGGCGGAGGTGGCAGGCATTCGCTTAGTCTGGCCTCCCCTGTTCACAGCTCCCCCCAGTGCGAGCGCCCTGCTGCTCTAGACGATACTATTTGGCAGGGGTCATTCCGTAGAAAAAGAGGTGCAGGAGCTCATTAGCATAACTCATTAGCATAACTCATTTGCATATGCCACACCCCCTGACATCACCAGAAGTGTGTCAGAAGGCAACCCCCACCGGAAGTGTGTCAGAACAACCCACCGCTCAGGCTCCACTGGACTGTTTTGGATTGCTGGCTATGGAGTGGGGGGGGGGACGTGCAGATCTGTCCTTGCAGAGGAGGGAGAGCTTGTACCTGAATAAAACTTGGTCTTAAAGGTGCCACTAGACTGTTTTGGTCCATGGGGGAGGGGGCTCTGCAGCTTACCTGACTGCTTCTTGCTCTGACTGAGGGCTGCTGGGAGCAGGGGGTGGGGCTTGTTGCATGTGCCCGCCCCCTGGGCTCTTTACTGCCGAGGCTCCACTCCTGTGTGCTCCTGCAGGAAATGACCCCTGCTATTTGGGCACTGGAGCTTCCTGTATCCATCTGCCATGAGGCACGGGTTTTCCTGTTATTGTATATTGTGCCATCTACGATATTAGTAGTCTTATAGCTCTTATTGTTTTGTGGATTTTATGTTGTAAGCCACCCTGAGTCCACTCGTGGGATAGGGCGGGGTATAAATTAAATAAATGAATAAAGAAGAAGAATTCTGCGTACAAACTTTCATGTGCATGCACACTTCTTCAGATATCTTCAGATAAGATAGCTTATACCCAGAATTAAACTTGGTCGCTCTTAAAGGTGCCAAGGCTGGACTCAGACTTTGTTCGATAAACTTTGGTAGTTGGCAAACAGCCTTTGATTAATTTTAGCACGGAAAGTACGATGCAAAGTCCCGGGCACGTTTCTCTTTGATTCAGGAGGCCGAAGAGCACTGGAAGAAGGAATCTAACGAGAGCTTCAAGGTCCAGCAGGACTCCTACCGGCGGGAAGTGCAGGCCTTGGAAGAGAAGGCCAGAGAAGCCTTGCAGCGTGAACTGGAGAAGAGGCGGCAGCGGCAGTCTTCGCTGACAGGTACCATCGGTGAGACTGCGACAGTGTCTGGCTATTTTTCGGCAGTGACGAGGGAATAGCGTTGCTTCCCTCTGTCTGTCCTCTGGGACTTCAGCTGCTTTCCAGTCGTCTGTTTTGTCGCTGAGTCTGACTGCTGCATTACCTTTTGTCGTGCTCTGGGTAGCCCCCAGGCCCTGTAAATCCAGTTGCCGTGTTGAGGAAGGACTTGAGGAGGAAGCGAATGCCTCAGATTTGGAAGGGCTGGGGGGTTGCGTCACGCCTCAGGCACCTCCCTCAGATCGATCACCTCTCCTTCTTCTCTCTCTCTTGGCTAGGGGATCGTCTCCGAAATCCTCCGCGGCATTCTCCCGCTTCCTTCCTTTTATCTGTCTTCCCCTCCCCTAGTGACACACCCCTTTCTGTTACTGCTGAGCCTATTGCCTCTTCCACCTGCCCATCACCGTGCTCTCCACTCCCTTGGTGCTTCCCCTTTTGGTCTTGCCTCCCTGTATATCCCCGTGTCTCTAGCCTTGGGCGGGGGCGTGCAGGGGAGTGCCTACTTCCGTTAAGGACGAAGGGACTGACGCTCGTTGTTTCGGCGTCTTCAGCTCTGGGGGATAAGGTTGGGACCCTCCAACTAACTCTTCCACTCGATCGGGCCCGCCCCCCCCCCCCCAGGCCGTGGCCTGCTGACGAACGGTGTCCGTGCCGGCCCGTTCCTCCAGCCCCGTCTCCTCCTGGTTCCTCCTGTGTCTTTGGGGTCGCGGAGGGAGGGGGTTGGAGTCTTGAGAGTCTCCTGGACTGCTTCCCAAGGCCCGGGGCCTGTCACCTCCATCGTCCGTCGAACCCGCTGCCCCGGGAGCTTTGTCGCCTGGGGTTTGCTGAGAGTCCGGCGCGGGTAGACACCTTTGTTACCCGTGCACTTCTGCAGCAGTCTCTTCGGCAAAACTATCTGCCAGAGCATAGGAAGGTGTGCTGGGATTTTGGCCGTTTCTCTGTTGTCGTGGGTCAGGCATAACAGCAGTGGCACGCTGGATCTCACAAACAGCTGGAGAAACCGCTCTGCCCCCAACTAAGGTTGTTTCCACTCCAAATTCTGAGAACTCGAGTTCGACCCTTTCAGCCAGGAGGTTGTGTGGCGTGCTTCACCACTCCGTGTGGTGGCTGGAGTCAGGGCTGGTCCCAAGTTTTCAGGGGGGGGGGCTCTCCTCCATGCTGTTTAAGGTGATGGCCCTAATCCCACTGGCCCAGCAGGCCCATAGCTACAGTGGGGCATTCCGGGGCTCCACTCCCTCAAATGTGAAGCACGCCCCACAACAGCTGCTGCCCCTCCTCCCCTCCTCCCCTCTCCCTCCCCTCCTGTGACATCAAAAGGGCCCTCCATCTGATCAGTGGAGCACGTGGCCTGCCAGTCGGCTGGAGGGCCCTTTAAATCCAGCAGTTGTTCTCTCCCTCCCCCTCCTCCAAGATTTAAAAGGCCCTCCAGCTGATCAGTGGGCCCTTTAAATCTTGCAGGAGGTGAGGAAGAAGATGAAGAAGAAGAGATTGGATTTACACCCTGCCCTTCACTACCCGAAGGATTCTCAGAGTGGCCATCGCTCCCTGGCATCCACACTTCAGGCACTCAGTAGAGCGTGTCGGCGGTTGTTGTTGTTGTTTTTACACAGTTTGTGCATGCGCATAGGCAGTCTTCCTTATAATGAAGATCTTTGCGCAGGCGCAGAACAACCCAACCTGAAAAGCATGCCCTGAAGCGAAGACGCCCCTTTTAAATTTTTACTCTGAAACTGGCCTCCGTGAGGTCCCGGACTCATCTAAAGCCTTACACTAGGCACTTTAAAAAAATTATTATTATTAACGATGGGGCGAAGCTTCACCCAAGCACATATTGCCTACTAAAAAAAAATGGTGGCTGAAAAGCGGGAACCTTGGGCTTCCGAACGGAAGTGGCTCTACACCGGCGGAGAGCGATCAGATGGGGGAAAAGCAGCTAGAACCGGAGCACTCAGGAAAACACCACTTGGGTACCTAGTGGCAAACTACACCAGTTTAAGGGGTGTTTGCGACGGTTGGCGATGGTTAGGGACGGAAGGCAGACGTTGTGCGTGTGATCACGGGTAAGTACTCCGATTCTAACTGACGTCTATACCAGCTTAAATGCCCCATCTGAACGCACCCCCTGTGAGGTAGGTGGGGCTGAGAGAGCTCTGACAGAAACTGCTCTTTTTCAAGAACAGCTGTGCCAGATCTATGGCTTGCCCAAGGTCATCCAGCAGGTGCAAGTGGAGGAGTGGGGAATCAAACCCGGTTCTTCCAGATTAGAGTCCGCGCACTTAACCACTACACCAAACTGCACGCATTCCTGGCAGCACGCCTTCCCTGAACTCTAAGTGGCGATTTCACTGCTTGGAGATCAGGCATGGGCAACCCCCACTAGAAAAACAGCATTTAAAGGGAACCCATTAATGCTTTTTTTCTAGCGGGGGCTGCCTGCGCCTGATCTCCAAGCAGTGAAATCGCCGCTTGGGGTTCCGTGGGGCATGTCAAATATGGATCCGTTTGCAGTGGACACCAATGAAAAGTACGTCTTGTTCTGCTCCAAAGCAGCCTGGCATTCCTTGTCACTGGGAGACGCTTTCCAGATCCTGTGGAGAGGGGACACGTTCTGTACCTTCCGCCCACTCCCACTGATGTCACAGATGTTAGGCAAAATGAGGGCAGAAATCATGGTAGCCATCGTAGTAGTCCAGTTCTGGCCGAGACATACACAGTCCCCCATGCTACTCAGAATGGCTTGAGGTAGAAACCATGTCCTTCTACCCCGCCACAATCTCCTGTGGGCAGGGGCCCTTCCCGAAGCACTCGAATATTCATAGCCTGCTGTGGCGTTCTCTTATTAGGGAGGACTACTTTTTCCAATTTGTAAAGACAGAAACTCCGTCATGGGTTGAGCTCCCCCACTGACCCCCAGCCCAATTTGAGAAAGCACACGGCAGTCTTGTAGAGGAGAATCCAACTTTAAAACTGTATTAATAAAGGAGGGAAGCACGGGCTCAACAAGAGTTTGAACCCCACAGCTCTCCCTAAGGTTACAATGGGAGCCATAGGGTTTTATACCCCCTAGAAATAAATCACAATTATTGGTTCCATCAAACTTTGTCATATATCCGTCACACCATTCTGATTGGGCTCGAACCTGTAGGCTGGTTTTTCTCAGGCAAAAATATACCTTCTTCAGTTGAACAATAGGCTTTCTTCTTCCCATTCTGTGAGATTCTAAAAAGTATCTAATTGTAACAAATATTAGTACATCATGCAGTGTTCTTCATCTAACGCAAGCAAACTGACATCAGGAGCATGCGCAGTTACAATTGGCCAGAACAAGCAAGGTCATCAGTTACTGCCTGTCAGCATCTGGTATTTTACCCAGGATGCATTTAAGCAATGAACCAGAGTGAATATCTGAATATATGTTCATGATTGATTTCAGTCACTGTGATTAGAATCATCAAAGGCACTTAACATATGCACCATGGAAGCGTCAAGAGCACCTACTAAGTTAAACTGACTGTTAGCCAGTGGCAGAGTACAAAGTGTTTCATAAGCAGTGTGTACAACACTTTAAATGTGCTCTTTGCTTTTGAAAACGGGGTAGATTCGGCTGCCAACAGGAATTTAAGGATTTCCAAACCTCCTCTCTGGTTCCCTTTCTGGTAAAGTAACCCAGGGTCTAGGCTTTTCAGGGATCTATGTGGTCCTGAGGAATGATTGATATGACTTCTGTGATATATTTGAATAAAATAGGATTTATTGAAAGAGGAACACAATAAGAGGTTGGTTCTTATGTAACTGGCTGGGAATAAGGTTCTTGTACATATATTTGTCAACTGTATCACACACACTGTCAGTTTTAGTCCTTAAGATCCCACCTTGACAGGAATCTCTCACTTAGGCGACTACACAGTTTAATCTCTTGGTAAATTTAAGAACTTTAAAGTTTCACTATTGAAGATATATGCTGCTCTCTCTCAGATCCCACACAGAACTAACTGAACTCTTAATTCAATTTCAATTCAATTTCAAAACCTTTATTGACATAGAAACTGAACTCTCACTGACTGAACAACATCAACTGCTTTTTTCCAACTGACTTTCATAACTCTTTTCATCACTGACACACTCACACAGATCCACTTCAAAAACCCCTCCCCTCTCTGTCATCCACCAATCACAGCACACTTATCTCTCAATCATTCTACTCTGCTATCATCACACTTCAACCAAGCATTTAAAGGCACACACACACACTCTTAAGACGAGGAATCGTTACACCTGCATTTGACAGCAGATCTCATTTCTGCCAGATTTTCAGCTATCTCCTACATCTAGTCCATGGTGGTTTGGTGTAGTGGTTAAGTGCGTGGACTTTAATCTGGGAGAACCGGGTTTGATTCCCCACTCCTCCACTTGCAGCTGTTGGATGACCTTGGGCAAGCTATAATTCTGATAAGAGCTGTCCTTGAAAAAAAGAGCAGTTTCTCTCAGAGCTCTCTCAGCCCCACCGACTTCACAGGGGGTGTCTGTTGTGGGGAGGGGAAGGGAAAGGAGGTTGTAAGCCACTCTGAGACTCCTTCGGGTAGTGAAGGGCGGGGTATAAATCCAATCTCTTCTTCTTCTCTTCTTCTTCTTCTCTGTTGTCACACATCCTTCCCTCCTTCCCCGCTGTGAGCTCTGATGCCTATAATAACTAATACTGGCTCTCTCCCATGGCAACAGTGAGGAACTGAGGGAAAGGTGCAAAAGGAGCATAGAAAAGAGAAGGAACTCCCTCTAGAATTTTTGAGTTTCAGAATCTCTCCATGGTAGGCCTGTGCATGCGCAGTAACCCATGTGCGACCCCACAGGTGACCACTCAATGAACAATGATCACAGATAAGTGCAACCCAGTTTGCATCTGAATGTACATTTCTACCTGCATTAGGGTGCTCACGTGGATTCCCCTGGAACTGTCTGGATGCATCCTGCTATGAAGATAGCGATGTGCACCTCTTCTCATTGATGCATGACTAGAGGTGGACCAGGGATGTAGGTGTACAAGCGCACATGTATGCAAGAGAGCTTTCTTCTCTCTCAGTGTCCATTTTTAAGAGCCTTCTAGAATATATGACTGTTTAGCCTAAAGGCATTTCCACAGTTCTGCCCGCTCTTCTCCACTTCCTGAGAGTTTGTCATTGTTTCTAGAATCTCTGAGAACGGAGCTGGCTGAGCAACAGGCATCTTGCGTCGCTCACAAACAAGAAAAAGACGAACTGCAGGAGGAGCTGAGGAACATGATGGTCCTGAAGAGGCAGCAGGCAAGCTCCCAGTTCTTTCTTCACCAAAATGTGCCACTGCTGAGCAGGCGGTACCAGTTCCGCTTTCAAAATTAAAGTGCCTAAGGGGAATAGCGGGGAATTTTGGTTTGTATCTTGGTGAAAAAAAGAACACCGGTGCACTCTTTTGAAATTTTCTATGTGATCATAAGTATGCCCCTATTGATTATGTCTGTTTTAAGTGCCGTCAAGTCACTTCAGAGCGGTGGCGCAGGCGGTTAAACGCCTGCATATAACATCTACAAACAGCTGCGACAGCTGTTCGATTCCCACCGCGGCCAGAGTGAGCACCTGGCCCTTGTCCCAGCTCCCGCCAACCCAGCGGTTCGAAAGCACGATGTAACATCAAATGTGCGAGTAGATCAATGGGTACCTACCTTAGATGGTAGGGGGCACCCTCCCCCCATCGAGGGGGGTCCGTGGAGCAACGACGACGAGAGGCGAGGTGGCGAGCGGCGGAAAAAATGGCGACGGAGGCATAACATCTTCAAGGGTCCGGATGCTGGTGGAAGGCGGAGCCAGGAAAGACACCGGAGCGTGGAAGGCGCATGCGCGGTGGAGCCTTAATGGACGGAACCGGAAGCTGCACCGGAAGCGCGCCGAGCGCCAGAGAGGCCCGCCGTACCACCACCAGGAGGAAAGAAGCCAGAAGAAAGCCGTGCTGACGAGCCGATCCAGAATGTCCCTCCACTGGGTGCTGTTAGGACAGTCCCCACCCCAGCATATATGTGGCCTTAGGTAAGGGATAATGGTTAACTGTAGAGCCGCTCAGAGACCCCCTGTGTGGGGTTTGAGCGGGGTAGCAAGTTAAATAAGTTAAATAAATAAATAAAATAAATTTGTCTGTCTGTTTATCATTTCGATTTACAACAATAAATTCCAGCACAACCTTAAAACGATTCACTCAACAAATATCAAACATTAAATTAATACAATAAAACCGCTTAAAGGCTGCGATCACACGCGTCAGTAGATCCAACATAGGCACGAATGCCTGACGGATCTAAAGGGCGCCATCAGACAGCAACATCTGGGAAGTGTCTCGCAGTTGTCGGCAACCCGTGCTGCTCTGCTGCAGAAGCGGAGCTAAAAGACAACGGGGAAAGTATGGTAGTAAATGGGTTCCGATGGGCCACAGATGGACTTTCCCCTGTCTCATCGCTCAAGCACGCTCTCATGCCGTCGGGACGGTCTGATCATTCCATCCCGGCTCGGTGCCATTTCCTCCCCCCTCACAGTATGCGCATCATCACATACTCCATAGGGGGCCCTAAGTGCAGACATGCGATTCCTCATTTATGCGCATGGGAAACAAACAGCAAAAAAAAAAAACACGACTCACCCGCAGTTGCGTCTGATCACACAGTGATGGGCTGAGCCCACAACTATGAAGGGAGGTGTGATCTCGCAACTGCGGGTCAGATTCCTCCTGAGGGAATAGCCTCGCTTCCCCTCCGCTTCAGCTGGTGCGTGTGACCGCAACCAAAAATGGCTGAAGTGGGCAGTGCAGGAAATTTCAATTTTCAGTCCCTGCAGCCAGGAATGAATGAGCCGAAGTCGAGCCATTGAGGTCTCATTAATAGCAACAACATACTGCCATTATGTGACCTGATGAGCAAATGACCTCCAAAAACGTCCTGCTGGTAACTACTCATCATAGTTGGGTAAAGTGACAGCAATCTCCCTATCTCCCTTCTGAATGAGAGAGTAGTCGAGTTAGTCAAGATAAGCACATGCTCCAGAGCACGCAGTGTTTGTCCATTATTTTCAGTTGGTCTCTGATCCCTATCTACCCTGCCAGTCTACTGAAATTTCTAACGATTCCTACCTATAGACAAGAATCTCTTCTAGCCAGGATGAATGTGCCCCCATCAGCCATTCAGAGAAGCAGCTATAGGAATATCACATTCCAGGACAGATATTGCGGGTGTGCATGGGGAGAGCTTGGAACACTGGGTCATATGATCTTGTATTTCCTGTGGTATGACCTATATAGAGTGAAATGGAGGAGGAGGAGGAGATTGGATTTATACCCCTCCCTTCACTACCCAAAGGAGTCCCAGAGCGGTTTACAATCTCCTTTCCCTTCCCTTCCCCACAACAGTCACCCTGTGAGGTGGCCGGATCCAGTCTTCAGGAATTTAGGATCTGTTGGCGGAACTGAGATTCTACCGTTTTTTACTAAAGGATGAGGAACCAAGGATTACTTTGGTGGTGGGGGAAAGTGCCTCAGGTCACTTTTTAAAAGGATTTTTAAGGCAAGAGAAATTCAGAGGCGGTTTTGCCCCCTCTGCTTCACAACTCTGGTATTCCTTGGAGGTCTTCTAGTGGCCAGGTCTGAGCATGCTTAGCTTCTGAAATCTGATGGGATCGGTCTAGCCTAGACTATCCAGGCCAGGGCAAGGATTACTTTGGCCGTGGCAGAATTCTTCTTGGTGGTGATTACGTGGAAGGAAAAGATGAACTTTTAATGATGGGTTTAAGTAATTTTTTAGCATTAATTTCTAATTTAGAAATAAAGCAGAATTAATCATCATCATCATCTTAATAAATCCCTGGGCATTCTGGGCATTGAACGAATAACACCAGTTCAGCTCCAGAAGACAGTGTTGCTTGGAACAGCAAGAATCCTGCAAAGATACATCTGCAGTTCTTAAGAACTTCCCTGGATCTTGAATTGCAGAACATAATTTACTAGTCAAATATCTGACTGTGACAAATGATGATGATGATGTGCCTGCAGTAAAATTGTTCAAACTGACTATGAAGAACATCACAATGCAGTTGCAGCAATGTTGCACTGGAATCTTTGCAAGAAGTATGGCTTACCATCAGCCAGAAATTCATGGGAGCACAAACCAGACAAGATCATGGAGAACGATGAAACAAAGGTTCTTTGGGACTTCCAAACAGATAAACAGCTGGAGCATAATACCCCTGATATCGCAATTGTAGAAAAAATGCAAAATAGGATTGGGATCATTGACATTGCAATCCCAGGAGATAGCAGAAGAGAAAAGAAAGAACAGGAGAAGATCACCAAATACCAAGATTTATAAATAGAGTTAGAGCGCCTCTGGGAGAAGAAGGTTACCATTGTGTTAGTAGTCACTGGAGCCCTTGGAGCAGTGCCTAGAAGTCTCAAGAAATGCCTGGACACTCTAGGCATTGAGCAAATAACACCTGCTCAGGTCCAGGAGACAGTGTTTCTTGGGACAGCAAGAATCCTGTGAAGATACATCTACATTTTCCAAGAACTTGGCTAGATCATGAATTGCAGAACACTGTCTACCAGTCAAATATCTGACTGTGACAATTCATCATCATCATCATCATCATCATCATCATCATCATCATCATCACCATAATCATCATTTAGTGTGGCCTGACTTGAGACCTTAGGTCAAAGAAAGAAATATTGATCATACACAGGCCTCTATACAGTTTACATGTGATCAGTAGTGGCATACTTATGATCAGTGCTATAAAATTTTTTTTAATATGCCGTGTTCATTCAAATTCTATTTAAAAAGCAGAATTCTGTAGTTTAGATGAATTGTCCAAAAAAAGCAGATTTGCACGATCTTCATTTTGTCTCCCTCATCCTGCTGCTTTTACCTTTTTTGCACACCTCTTCTGGTTTTCGCTGATTGCCGAAGGGTGAGGGAGCAAATATGGAGCACTGAAGCTCTGCCCCTGGACCTTTCGAAATCACATTGGGCAATCCCTTTGGTTTCTGAGACATTCTCCACAAACTTCCATGCGTACCTTTGCATCCGTCAGGGCTAGAAATGCGGGGGTTTTGTTCTGAAACGAAAGCCGAGAGTATCAGAGTGCAAGACGAACTGGGCCTGTTGCCACATTCCTTTGAGGAGTGCCACAGAATCGTGGCATAGCTGCAGCCCTGATACTGCTTAATAACTTAAGTGCCACAGAGCGCTTTTCTCGAATGGAAAAGGAGATTCTTTCTCAGTCAATCCCATTGTCTAACGGAAGGTCCAAAAACTGGGTATCGCTCCTTGTTTGTGTTTGCTGTGTGAAAGGTCATTGCCGCGTCACGTCACGTGCAAGCAGCTCTCTTGCGAATGCCTCCATCTGTCCTTCCTCTTAGGAAGAAGAGAACCATGATCAGATACAGACTCTTAAAGACGAAGTGGTGAAATGTCAGAACGAAATCTGTGGGCTCAAGAAGGAGAATGCCCTTCTGAAGGACACGCTGGATCTGCTGAGGGCAGATGCGGCATTACAGAAACAGACATCTGGACAGCTTCAAGAACCAGAGGGCCAGCACAGAAGGTAGACGGTGTGTGTGTGTGTGTGTTTGACTCTCCCATAGCACATCAGATATCAGCAGCTGACTGTCTCCCAGAGGCAATTCCTGCCCCCTGAAAAGCACCCTATGTCTCTCACTTGCCATCCTAGGGGCAAGATGTTGTGTTGAACGGGAGAGAAGGGGCAGGGGGGCAGAGGGCTGGCTTGGGGGCCGCCTCACCAGCCTCCACCTACCTCTCACCATGGTCCTCTGTAAATAGAACTCTCGCGCCTTCAGATGCAATGATGGTACAGAGGGGAGAGGGAGGGGGCGAACAACTCAGACTTCCTGCTCCACAGCTTCCCCGTCTTGTTTGGTGTAGTGGTTAGGAGCGCAGACTGTAATCTGGGAGAACGGGGTTTGATTCCTCACTCCTCCACATGCAGCTGCTGGCGTGACTTTGGGTCAGTCACAAGTTCTCTCAGAGCTGTTCTCTCAGAGCTGTTCTCGAGAGAGCTCTCTCCACCCTGCCTACCTCACAGGGAGTCTGCCGTGGGGAGCGGAAGGGAAAGGAGATTGTCAGCCACTCTGAGACTCCGAGTGAAGGGCGGGGTAGAAATCCAATCACGTCAAAAACAGAATATTCACATCTTCCTTGCCTGTAACATTCACAATTCCCTGATGCAGAGAAAGCTTGTGTATTTCCTGGATGGGGAGATTGCAATTACTGTATTTCAAAAGGGGGGGGGGGCTGAGAGATGGAGGAAGAGCAAAAGTCTGCATTTACCATGGATTGATATATATATCAGGGGTGGCCAAACTGTGGCTCAGGAACCACATGCAGCTCTTTCACACATTTTGCGCGGCTCCGCTTCCTGGGTAGGCTTGAGGTGTGTGGGTGTTGGGGGGGGGGAGCAGAGAAAGAAAGCAACTTTAAAGAGAGCCAGTTTGGTGTAGTGGTTAAGTGCAAGGACTCTAATCTGGGAGAACCGGGTTTGATTCCCCACTCCTCCACTTGCACCTGCTTGCACCTTGGGCAAGCCGTAGTTCTGACAAGAGCTGTCCTTGAAAAAGAGCATTTTCTGTCAGGGCTCTCTCAGCCCCACCTACCTCACAGGGTGTCTGTTGTGGGGAGGGGAAGGGAAAGGAGATCGTAAGCCGCTCTGAGACACCTTTGGATAGTGAAGGGCGGGGTATAAATGCAATCTCTTCTTCTCTTCTTCAGCCCCCCCCCCACCAGCTGGCTTGGAGAAAGCATTTGTCTCTTTAAACCCCTTCCCCAAGCTAAGCCAGCCGGTGGCGGGGGCTTGGAGGATCTTTCCCCCTCCCCCTCCCTCCCCCCATCTATTTGCTTTCTCTCTCTCTCTCTCCCCTCCCTTCCCATCTAAAGTTAAATATCATCATCAATATTTGTTTTTACCCCTTTTTTATTTTTGGCTGTCTCATTTATAACGTTAATAAAAAGCAAATTTGCATCCTATCCAATAAAAACGTGCGGGTTATATTCGTTCACGCCTTGTGGCTCTCCAACATCTGACGTTTATTCTATGTGGCTCTTACGTTAAGCAAGTCTGGCCACCACCACCACCGATATATATATCCTACATTTCTCCTCAGGTGGGGCCCAAAGCACTTTCTCCCCTTGCCATGGTTTACAGCAAAAACCCTGTGAGGTGTGTTAGGTTGAGAGAATATGATTGCCCAGGGGTCGCCCAGTGAGCCTCCACGGTGTACTAGGTGTTCAAACCACTGTCTCCTAGTCTGACAATCTGCTACACCGGTGTTTCCCAACCTGTGGGTTAGGATCGAGAAGTGGGTCACAGACCAGCCCTCCCTAATGCTCCCCCCCC